TTGCCATTTTTTAAAGATTGTACATATAAGTGATATCATATGGTACTTGTCTTTCTCTGTCTGACTTACTTAGTATGATAATCTCTAGGTCCATGCATGTTGCTGCAAATGGCATTGTTTCTATTCTTTTTTATTAGCTGAGTAGTGTTCTTGTGTGTGTGTGTGTGTGTGTGTGTATACACACACATACATATATACAACTTCTTTGTCAAGTCATCTGTTGATGGACATTTAGGTTGTTTCCATGTCTTGGCTATTGTAAATAGTGCTGCTTTGAGCATTGGGGTGCTTGTGTCTTTTTGAAGTAGAGTTTCCTCCAGGTATATGCCCAGGAGTGGGATTGCTGGATCATATGGTAAGTCTATTTTTAGTTTTTTGAAGACTCTCCATAGTGGCTGCACCAAATTACATTCCTACCAACAGTGTAGGAGGTTTCCCTTTTCTCCACACCCTCTCCAGCATTTATCATTACCATAGTCAATTTTAGAACATTTTCATTAACCTCCCCAAAGTAACTTTACTCATCAGCCGCCACTTGCCGTTTCCTCCAACTCTCCCATCCCTAGGCAGCCACTGATATACTTTCTGTCTCTATAGATTTGCCTTTTTCTGGCCGTTTAATGTAAATGGAGTCTTACAATATGTGGTCCTTTGCATCTGGCTTCTTTCACCTAGCAGTGTTTCTAAGATTCATCCATGTTGTAGCATGTGTTAGTACTTCATTCCTTTTTAGTACCAAATAATATTCCATTGTATGGATATACCCTATTTAGTTTATCTATTTATCTAAAGTTGAGGGGCAATTGTGTTGTTTTCATTTTTTGGCTATTATGAATAAAGCTGCTGTGAACATTTGTGTACAAGTTTTTGTGTGGACATGTTTTCACTTCTCTTGGGTATAAACCTGGGAATGGAATTCATGGCTGTGCATTGTTTTGAATGATTAGGGTTTTAGGTTGAAGAGGCAGGGAGAGTCAGAGGAGGGAGAAAGAATGGGTGAGAATTGGGAGGATATTTTACATTTTGAGCAAAACCAAGGAGGTATAAAATAAAAAGGCATATGCAGGAAACTTGAAGGGGTTCTACGTGGAAGAAGTGATGATAAGTAAGGGTAAAGAAAGAAGAATTCAGAGCATAGAGGGACTTGTTGGTCTATCTGTTCTTCTGAAGGTACTTGAGAGCCATTGAATGGCTAAAAGCAAGGCAGAGAAAAGAACACTCTGGAGGTCATGTGAAGGATGGATTTGGTTTCATAGCTGGGATTCTACCTGGCAGGCAGCTCTGGTCAACATGTTGCTGCCTGCAGAGAACTTTGCTCTCCAAAACCATCCACATTAAATATTTGGACTGGCTTCTTACACTCAAAATAATATAATATGGATTTGTGATATGTGATATATTAATAATATGGTTAAGGGAGTTTTAAGATAAGCCATTTTGTTGTCTTGAAAGACAGTGCACAATTGGGTGAGGCTTATTTATGTTGCTACCAAGATGTGTTTGGATTAAGTTTTTGAAAGTGAGTGTGCCAATTTGCTTAGATTCCTTTTTTTCTTTCCTGTAGTAAGAAATATTCACTTTAGCCAATAAAAAGTATACCAAAATTGTGATTGAAATGGAGAAGATGACTCATGTTTTGAACTTGAATCTTCTGAAATTAAAATCCCTCTACACTGGTTGTTCTTAACAATAGGACATTCAGAGGGTGCTCCCTGTGTATTCTAAGAACCTGCATTGAGATGTTGTCATTCAGAATGAATATTTTTTGTGTCTCTATGCTCTTGGAATTATTAGACATTATTAAGAATGCTGTTGTGTATTTCCTCTTTCAAAGCCACAAATATCAGGCTATGATTGATTCTAAGTTTTATTTAATATATTTTCCAGGCCTTTTCAGTTAAGGGCCTTCAAAAAATAATATATCTCTGTGCTGACTCCAAATTGAATTTAAGTCTGACGATTAATAAAACAGCTTGTAGCTGCTTTTTAATTTCCTTATTCACTTGGTCAACAGCAGAAGTGGAGTGATATGAAAGGACTTGGAAAAGTTGTATAAAGCCTTCTAGTTTCTGTTTTCTAGCATTTAATTTATTGAGTTTGCTTTCTCCTTTCTGAAATTAAATACACATCTGGAAAGTTTAAAGTGCTATAAATATGTATTAAGTTCACAAATATTTATTGAATACCTATTGTATATCAGAAACTGAGAGGTTTGGGGAAAAGATGACTAAGGTAAGTGTCCCTTTAGAGATTTTTAAGACCTACTGGAGGAGATGAGAAAGGTACACAAGCGGCTCTGTTGTGTACAGATGTGCGGAGGCAGATGTGGGGAGGGCCCTGGAGGGGGACAGTGGAAATGCTTGGGGTGTAGCCTATTTTTATGGGTGATTTAATAAGGGTTGTACAGAAATGGGGTCTGTGATTGACTATATTAGCAGCCTTGGTTTAAACAAAATTAAATGCGCAGTATAGGATAATGGCTAAGAGTGCCTGAGTTCAAAACTGGAATCTTTTATTTATCTGTTGTGCCATTTTGGTCAAATTATTTAACCCTAGAATTTTCTCATCTGTAAAAGCGATGTATTTTGTTGAGTTAGTAGTGAGGGTTAAATCAGGCATGTGCAGCAATTAGCACATCCTGGTATAGAGTAAGCTCTCAGCAATGATCGTTCTTGTACAGCAGAACTTGTCAAGCCCCAGAGTACTAAGAGGCATGCTGAATCAAAAAGAGAGAAAGAGGGAAATCATGCAACTGCTCCCAAGCC